ATCTTTTTGTTAAAAGTAAGAATTTAAGGGGTGGGTGCAAGAGGGCAGGAACACAGAAGTATAATTACTTCGGCAAGGAATGGGTGCAAAGGGGTGGGCAGCAAAGATACTGCAGCAAGTGGTGAGTTTCTATTGATCTGCTAGTTTATTGTTTAAAGACTGAATCTCATGTTTAAAAAATAACAACTTGATTATATAGTTATTCTAAGAAACTTATTATTTCTTTGATACAACTATCATCACAATCTATTTCAAGTCTTATACCACCATCATAACATCACTCAAGACCCGACTGGACAGGGATGTGCATCCTACACATCTTGGCCCAGAGGTCCACACAGCACTGGGAGGGCCAAAGACTTTTGTAGCAATTCTTTTTCTGTTATGCAGTCAGCTGACATGGAGACTTCTTATTAATTATTAAAGCTTGGCCTGTAGCTTAGGCTTATTTCTAACTAGCTCTTATACCTTAAATTAACCCACTTATATTAATCTATGTTTTGTCATGTGGCATTACCTCTTTTTCATCTTGCTTGCACCTCCTGTTTCTTCTCCGTGTCTCCCACCCCTTAATTCTTTCTCCTCTTCCTTTCTCTCCCCAGAAATCCCACCTATACCTATTGCCTAGCTATCGACTGTTCAGCTCTCTATTAAGCCAGTCACAGCAATATATCTGCACACAGTGTACAAAGGTCCCACAAAAGGCTTTGTTTTCCTTTCCTAAGTGAAATGCCATGTTAAAGAATTACTCACGGAGGATTACATGCTGTAGCATGCACAAGAAAGAATTACAAACTTGCTTGACATTCAAGAAGTCAGTCCCTGGGCAGCCAGCGCTTAAACCACCTCAGAGAGTAGGGTGGACATGGGGTGAGTGGAATTCCTGGAAAGGAAATCCATGGGATTCCTCCACTGGGGAAGTGTAGTTAAATCTGAAGCCACAGAAGCACCAAGAAGGAAAAGTCCTCTTTCCTCACATTTTTATCAGCATTGTAGCTTACAGGCTTCTTTTGCAAGGTGCTAAAATATCATCTATATTGCTTCTAGCTGTTCATCAAGACAACCAGAGGTTATAATACTCGGGTTTCTAGGTCACTTGTGTTCATGGAGCAGACCAACTTGTAGTGTGACTCTCTAGCTCTCTGCAGACAGAGGTCTCCATGAAGCACTGTGGAGAGAAAGCCGTCATTCATCTGGAGAGGTCTGGCTCTAGGCCAAGCCTGGACCAAGTGCTTCCCTTACATTGTCTCTGAAGCCACTCCACAACCCTGGGAAGGGACTGCTAGGGCTCTGGCCTGCTTTTTTAGACACAGAGGCTCAGAGATGCAAAACTGCTTGCTGAAGCTCAAGGGATTCATAAATGCCTGAGCTGGGGTACAAAGTGGGACTGCCTGACACCTTAAGACTACATTATAACTTGGGAGACTGGAGTGGATCAAAGGGTTTAACAAAGTTGTGGTTGTTTAATGTGCTAATTGCATAGGTTGCACTCAAGGGTCGGTCTCAGTGTGTGTCAGAAGCACTACCTGGGCAAGCAGGGAGAGTTGTGTTGAGAAAGGAGACCAAGGACAAGGGTGAGAAAAAAAGATGTATCCACTTGCTGTCATGCTGAATGGAGTAGCATAGGAGTGTGATGTACTTGTAATTGGCTCTTTTTATGTAGACACAAGGCTGAATTAGGTCAGCCTTCCTGAGCCCTCTCTGCCACCTTTGGAGATTGTGGCCCTCTACTTAAACTATAAATTGGACGCTAAGGTCCATGATGATGGAGACTAACTAGCCATCTCACAAACTGATGTGTGGAATCCCCATCCTGTGTCATCCGTCACCTGGCACACAGATTTGTTGGAAATCGATGGTGGTGGTACGACAAAACCGAACGAAACCTCTAAGCAATAGCGAAGCATTCTTTCCAGATGGTATTTTATTTTATTTAGTGTTCACAGTGGTTTTATGAAATTGATGCCATCTTTCTCCCTAACTTATAGGTAAGAGAATCTATGGTTCAGTGAGGTTTTGTAACCTGCTTGCAGACACAGGAGTATCATAGTAGGTACATGAAAAGAAGCTTTCCCTGATGTCACAGCTTGATACTTGATGTTATGCTATGGTCTGTCTATTTGAATTTTTTATTACATTGTGTGTGTGTGTGTGTGTGTGTGTGTGAGAGAGAGAGAGAGAGAGAGAGAGAGAGAGAGAGAGAGAGAGCGCATAAATGTGAAAGTCAAAGGACAGCTTGTAGGAGTCAGTTTTCTCCTTCTACTATATGGGTTCTAGAGGTCAAATTCAGGTCATCAGGCTAGGGTATGGGCACCTTTATCTGCCGAGCTATCTTTCCAGCCCCCTTTCAAGGTGTAGCCCGTGCTGTCCTTGAACTTATGCTCCTCCTGCGTCCAGCCACCTCGCCAACCAGTGGGCTTGGTTATAGGATGTGTCCTACCTCAAAGCTTGCATTCTTCTGTGAAGAAAGGAACTTTGTTTCATATTGTCTGTATTCCCAATGCTTAGACCAGTGCTAGGATATATCAAATGTTTAGTAATTTTTAGCATGCATACATGTAGGACTGGATGGGAACAATTATTCCCATAGCAGCAGGAGGTATAAGCTAGAAAACTGCAGGCTCACAGTAGATTGTTTTTGCCTGATTTTTGTCATAGAGAAATAAAAGACTAAATGCCACTAACTATATTTATTTAATATATATTACCATTCAAAAAATATAAGCAAGCACCTGCTAAGTGGCAGATAACCTGATATTGGAGATATGATGAAAATATTTGGTGATAATAATCATAGGCAAATGCTGGAAAAACAAGTGTCAGTAAAAAGGCAAAAATAATTGGAAACAAAAAATAGTAGAGGTCTGTGGTGTGATCTCAGTGACGAGAAACAGCCTTCCATAACTCTGAAGTCTACTTAGTGAGTGGGAATGGAAGTCCTTCTCGTGTGCCCTCTTAGGACTTGTGTCTTTTGTGTTGAGGAGGGAATGCAGGCAGAATATTGCAGAACATACCAAAGGGGAAATTTAGCTGACTCAGAGGCTAGGGGAAGGTTGTATTTCTCATGGGTTATCATGGAAAATCCCTCACACTTAATCTGACCAATAAGCCTGAGACCACTACATTATACAACTCTACATCATCCAACTCTGTTCCAATCCAGCCCATATTCTAAGCTGACAAGGCGGTGAATTTCCCAATTCCCAGGTCCTCAGCCCTGCTGTTGCACACAGTCTAAGATTGTTTTATACAAAGGCAGGACACTTCTGCACTCTGATGCCCTGACAAATGAACTTACCCTTTCCCTTCTTTCTTCTGTACCACATGCCAGTCTCCAAGAGAAGCAGAAAGGTGTCCCCATGGGAACCTTTTAGCCTTGGTGAGGCCCCCAGCTCAATGTGCAAGACGCCAGCAGTAGAACAACCCTGAAGCAGATTGAACCAACTTGTACCAATTCTCATCTGTCACTTAAATTTCACATGTGACTTTTGAACAGAGTCAAACAAGCATGTGAGATTTAACAACTACATGAAGCTAAAGTAGAATCTACTGGAAGCCCACCTTTCACCTTCAAATTGCAGGGAAGCATTTCGACTCCCTTCTTCCCCAAAAGATGCAGTTACTTTCTGGGGGTGGAAACAATATCATTTTTCACCCACCAGACACATCTATTTTTTTTTCCTTTAAAACCTAGTGGCAATTCCCAACCTCAGTTAAGGACTTGTTTTCCCATTTTTTTTAAAACTTCAAATGCTTCTTTCTAAATTGTGTTTCCTGAAGCATTCATTGTATGTATATAATTAACTCACGGGTCCCTCGGGGCCCATCTGGCTAAACTCTGGAGTTTAACTGAGCAAGACATTTGCTGATGTCTCTCCCTACAGTGACACTCAGAGAAATGCATACTGCTTCCGAAGGAAAGCGGGGAGAAGTTCTTTTCCAAATTGCTCTTCTCGTGGTTTGGACTGTTCTGTTAAATTATTTTGTTTGTTTTGTAATAGTAATGATCTCATTTTCTTTCAAATGTGAAATTTGCCGTTTAGGGAGGTGTAGGCTGAGGAGTGGATCCTGTCTTTGCTCTGAGCTGAAGAAGACAGGTATTTTGTATGTTCCATTGGATTCTTTAAATTCTATACGGGTAGCAGTGGCCCTCGTTGGTCCCAGTCTCCCTTCTGCATTCAGGGACCTATTATGCTGAGGGCATACGGTAGACATTCTGAAGAAGCTCCACCTGAGCCGAGAAGCTCCACCTGAGCCAAGAAGCTCCCGTGTCTGTCCAAAAGAAAACTTAAAGGGCTACAGAGAGTGTGCTTCTTCAGTCATAACAGATTGACCCATAACTCAGCCTGTATTATATAGACTACATCTCTGACTGTGTAGACACTGATGCATTTCCGAACACCAGCTTTGCACAGTTAAATGTTAGACCACTTGGAAAGCAATCGGGCATGATAGCAGTCTCAAAGTTCTGGCCCCGCTCTACTCTGTAGTCCTAACGTGCAGGGTTAACCTTCGAATAAGCTCCTTTTCCAGCTTTCTCCGGGTTTGAAGCTCCAGGCCTCCCGCCCTTGAACTTCAGTAAGGCGCAATCTGCATCATATCCCGTTAGCAAAAGGGACCTAGATGTGGCCTTCTACCCAGAGGAAGCTGCTTCTAAATGCTGTCCTGAATGAAGTGCAGGCAGGTGTCTGGAGCAAAGCAGTGAGCTAAGGGTCTCTGAGCACAAGCCCTGTGCAGCCCTTGGCTACAAGGCACCAGAGGGGAGAGGTTGAAATAATGTATTTACAGCCCCCCCCCCCCCCCCCCCCCACACCCCCCCGTGAACCTGCAAGCTAGCCACTCGCTGTCCAGGTGTCCTTGGCTGCTGCAGGCACACTTCTGCAACAGAGAGCAGCCGCAGCCTCCGCCTGGACTCCCACTGCTGCTGGGGAAGAGTCCTGGGGCTGCTGACGCGGTTGGGAGGAGCCTCGCCTTTAATGCACCAGCCGCCTCCAGCCTCCTGCAGCAGGAGCAGCAGCACCACCACCAGCAGCTGCGAGTGCGCGCCTGTGGGTGTGAGGTTGAGAGCGCTGGCGCTGGCCACAGCGCCCTGCCTAGCTCCCTGCCAGCTTTCCTAGCCCCCGCCTGTGGGAGCCGCCCTCCCGTGGGACCAGCACCCTCGTCTCGGCAAGGCAAGCCTGAATCCTGCCCCTGCCATCTCGCCACTGCAGTGTGGGTCCGGAAAGGCACCATTTTGTCGCGGCTGCCCGCTCTCCCAAGGGAGGAGGGCTCTCCTTTTTTGCATTTTGAAGCCACTGCCTACCAAGGGGAACCTGTTGGGCATCTCCCCAGCCCCGCTTGGGAGTGCCTCCTGGGCAGTCGGGCAGGACCAGACCTCTCGTGGGGGACACAGGGCTTCCTGGTACCCGGAGGCAGAGGAGGCAGGCACAGCATCCTCGCTGGGAATTGGAGCTGAAGTGAGCGCACCGTGCGGGAGGAGCCACCGCAGCCGCGGAGAACGGAGTGGAGGAGGTGACAGCTCCATTGCCGGGTTTTTATTTTCTTCTCTCTCCGCCTCCCCGTCTCCTCTTCAGGCTTGGACCATGGTGCAGTCCCACTGGCTCCCCTGCCCCCCTCTCCTGTGAGACTGGCTGCGGGGTGGGATCATGGATACTTGTCTGCCGGCTTCTGGTTCCCACGCAAGTAAGCCTGCTGTCAATGGAGGAGGACATTGATACCCGCAAAATCAACAACAGTTTCCTGCGCGACCACAGCTATGCGACCGAAGGTAATGCCAGCTCGGCCGCATTCCGCCACTGGGGTCGGGTGCAAGTTGCGGATAGCTGTGCTTCACCCAGCGGTCAGGCGCCTAGTGGTAGAGACTCCTCTGGGCTCTGGGGCTGGGGCTAGGGCGGGGGCTCAGACTAGGCTCACACCCGAACTGCGATCACCACATCCATCGGGACTCTGTGACGAGAGCCCCAGTTCAGCAGCAGGTGGACCAGGCGCCCCCGGGAGTTAAAATGGCCTTTAGGGATTAGGCTTTTCAGGGCGCGGCTCCCAGGCAGACAGATGATCCCAAGGAAGCAGATAACCCCTTCTTGCCCCAAGATGCTTACAGGAATCTTGGACTGAGAGAAAAAGGGAGGGGCCCAGTGAGACCTTGATCCACCCCTCTCTGGGTATAGTGTGATACCGTGGCTCTCCGTGGCTGCAGTGAGTAAGGGCACGGCTTCATTTCTTGCCCATTCATCTCTCTGACTCACTGGCTTACCTGCTCAGACAATCACAACCCCCTAAAAGCCCTTTGCAAAAGTGGGGGAGCCCTTTCCCCCTGGAAGTACGTTAGCCAGAAAATTTTAAAAATGTAGCTGGGGAATCGTGTTCCGCGGCGAGCAAACGAGGCTGACACGTGGGGCGAGCAACGGGATCCGTGGGGCCTTTAAAAATCACCATTATGAATTCTGCAGCAGTACTTTCTGCTGAATCAACAGCCAGCAGAAAGCAGGAGTGTTCAGCAAGCTGAGCTTTGGCAAGAGGTGAAATTGTGCTCTCTCTCTCTCTCTCTCTCTCTCTCTCTCTCTCTCTCTCTCTCTCGTTTGCTTGCTCTCGCTCTGTCACCAGCCTAAGCGCTGGGCAAGCCTTCAGGGAAAGTCAGCAGGTGGATAGCATCCTTCCTTTTGTGTAAGAGACGTTTTAGTTTCATTTAAATGACACAACTTTTGCATTTGAGCTTCATTTTCTACCTGTGGGTCTTGGTTTGGCAACTAATACAAAGCGCTGCATTGTCCTATGGTAATAGCCCATGTGAGAACACGGGTGTGAAGGTGCTTAGGGAAAAGGTCCCAAGACATTTTAGCCTGTGGTTCCTCTTCTAGAATGCTGAAATTTCTGTAGTGTTTAATCATATCAGAAGAATGCCAGAGAAAGGCAGGGGTTCAAATAAGAGTGCCAGCCCTGGGGAAAATAAAAAGACACATGTGGGGGAGGGAGTCAGGGTGCCACCCTCTGCAAGCATCTCTGGAAGTTTAGATAGAAGAACTCCAAGTGCTATTAAAAACACTTCCTTCATCACCATGTCTGGGGACCATCGAGTCCACCATGTCTGTGGTACCAGATGCCCTGCAAGCCCTGAGACCCTGGGGATGAATTTTAAGATGGACCACCCATCCCTGCCCCATGATGAATACCATTCTTGCTGGTTTTTTGGAACTATTTCCACAGTGGCGGTGTGACGATAAGTCTTTGTGCTTTGTGACCAGGTAGCATATGACATCTAGGATTTCCATCCACCAGAGCAGCCAGCCCTTGAGTCTGTTAGCTTTGTGGTGAGTAGGGAGCTTTCTGTGTGTGACTACAAAGAACGAATGTTACCTTCTTTATATATCTTGTATTACATTGCACAGGCAAAGGGAAACCTAGCAAAGTGAGAAGGTGACTGAGCCAGGTGTATAGGAATGTCATTTGTGGAAGGAGGAAGTTTAAAATGATGTTCTTTATTGTTTCCAGGGTCCTGGATACTAGCTTTGTACTTATTTAATTGCATTTTTTTATAAATTCTAATTCTGGATGAAACATTTGAGTTTGTATAGTAACATTGAGGCATTGAGGCATGAGTTTATAGAGAAGAGCTTTTCATTTTTTCTGGTATATATAAATCAGTCTCTCGTAGATGCCTGTACCTGATCTTAGTGAAGAGCTGGGAAGAGGGGGAAATGGAATAAAAGCTTGGTGGTGTAAGAAGCTCTCTCTAGTTTTGGTTTATTAGTTTTTCAACCATCTATTCAGCTGAGCTGGACAGTAGGGAAGAAACCTTTCTGCCCCTTCTAATGAACACTTGAGGAAGGACCAGCCTGCCCCCAAGAGAGCACCAGATCCAAGTCTTCTCCCCAAAAGTTCTTTTCCTTCTTGACAATTTAAACGCACTTACTGGTGGATTATCCTCTTCGTCCTTTAGTAGATAGTACTTCTCTGTTTCCTTTATTATCACTCCACATTTGCACTTCTACCTGCTCAAATACAGTGGACTATTTCCCCCCTAAACTCTCCTTCATGTTTTCTCTGAACCCCAACCCCCACCCTGCTTTGCTTGGATCACCCCACACTGCAGTGTTCTACAGTGTTCTATTTCAAGCTGAAAGGGGTTTGCTGTGTAGTTACTGTGAAGGACTCCAAGCTCAATTTGCATTGTAAGTGGTAGCTGCAGGCAGGCTCATCCAGCTAAGAGCAATGCAAATGCTATGATCTCTCTCTCTCTCTCTCTCTCTCTCTCTCTCTCTCTCTCTCTCTCCTTTATGGGCCATCAAGATTACTGCTCTCTCCTACCTTTTTCTATCTTTCTGTCTTTCCTTCTTTTCTCAAGTCAGTATCAGCTTCATCAGGCCTTTTCTACTCCAAACACTCTTCTGAGATTTCTCTGTGCATTTCCACATATCCAGAGTGGGATGCCAACTGAAGCCCCTGAGGCCTGGAGATGTTGCTTGTTACAAGGCCATCCATTTAAGAACACTTAATCTTCAAGTAGAGACCATCCTAAAGCCCACCTGTTTTCACTGGGAAATTCTGCTACCTCCTATGACCAGAAAGATGACAATGGTTTCTAGAGTGTATGAGTTGAGTTTCTTTCCATATGGAATAGAATTCTTCTCAGAAGTATTTTTTAAATGTGCACATGGGTGACATATAATGGGTGACGGAGTTCAGGTGACCATAAGCTTAAAGTCAGTATACTGGTCGATCAGATGTGGGACTCAAGATTCCCTAACCAAGGGTCCATGTCTTGGATTTCTAAGATCTAAATGGGACTTTCTGCATTTTTAGATGTCTGCTGGAGTAACCAAAACTCCTGTTTTCATTGTGGCAGTCTGTGGATTTTCTAGATTAACCTGGCACTTCCAAATGGGCTCAAAGAATAGTGTCATAAAGGACATGAGTTAAAATGACTTGACTGTCCTCTGTCTTCTTAGCTTTAAAATGGGATTCACAGCCGGGCAGTGGTGGTGCACTCAGGAGGCAGAGATAGGCAGATCTCTGTGAGTTTGAGGCTAGCCTGCTCTACAAGAACTACTTCCATGGTTACTAGAGCTGTTGTTAGACAAAGAAACCCTGTCTTAAAAGAAACCCCCCCAAAAAACCAAAACCAAACAAACAAAACAAATAGAATTCACATTAGAACCCCAGAAAAAATTATCTGATACAGAGCAAGCATTCAGGATATTGACCTACCACAAATCAGCCCAATCCACCATAGCTGTGGCATTCACCTGTGTTTGCATATCAAACATTCTGTCTTGTTTAGATTGAATATTGATTGGGGTATTTTTGAGGGGAAGAGTTATTAGAATATGGCAGAAGCCACCCTTCTGGTCCTCTAGCCAGAGAACTTGTCATTTAGCAATTTTCTTAATTGCTGGTTAATTGCTGGTTATATCTTGGCATCAATAAGCCCCATTTTCTCCCAGAAGCCTTAAGAAAAGCTGTCTTGTTTACACATTATTAAAGAAAGAATGGGTTAACTTCTTTATGTGGTTCCTACCAGTTATTGATTCTGCCTTTAGTCTTTCTAGAAATATCACCTGGCTTTCGGCAAAGGTTAAAATAGAAATGCATGTTCAAATACAGACATGGCCTCTGCTTTCAAGGGGTGTCCAGTCTAGCAGGAGAGGTAAAACACTGGATGGTTAATTTAGCAAGTCAATGTGTAGGGCACACACATGGTGGAACATAGGCCTAGTCTAGATTAGGATCCAAGGGTAGGTTGTCGTTTGGCAGTTTTAAGTTACGAACTGAAGGATGAGATCTACATTATCAAGAGCCAAAGGTGTCTTAGGGAGAAGGGACAATGGGCACAGGAGCCCAGAGATTCAAAACCAACTGACACAGTCAAGGAATGGAGAGATGGCTATAGCTGGACTGTAGGGGACGAGGATTTAAAAATGAGGGTGGAGTCGGTAGTGACGCAGAAATGCACCAAAACCAAGAATGATTAATGGAAGAGCAGAGGAGCAAGTAAATGGATAGCAATATGATAAAATGCTCTGTAGGGTTTTAATGATAAAACCCAAGTGGGCCCATGGATAGTCACTATAAAGCACTTTTGTTTGTCCTAGCACTTTTGTTTGTTCTGCTGCCTGTTTGGAAATTTTCTTCATAAAGTATTGGGTGAGGGGAACCTGAAGAGATATTCAGGGGCCAGATCCTATCGAACTTCATTGCTCAAAAGGAATTTGAATTTCATCCAAAGATGGATGAAAAACCATTAAAGGATTTCGGTAAAGGAGAAATATCAGCTTTGTTTTTTTTCAAAAGCTCAGTCTGGCTGCTGCATAGGGTGGGGTTAGAAGGGTGAATATGAGCTGGGTAGAAAGGGAAGCCGGGAGATAAGGAGGAGACACATTTATACCCAGGATGATGTCTGCAGTAGACATGGACTGGCAGGTGGATTAGGGACTCATCGTAGAGAAAGACTGTACCAGACTTCCTTGATAAGATTGTTTGGGTGTGAATGCGGTAGCTGGTGCTGAAGACAACTCCCAGAGGTTTGCTTTGAGGATCCATACACAGGATCCTTGCAGAGAAACAAGAAACCTTCTTTGGCAGTTGATAAGTTTTAAGAAAGCCATGACACGTATAGTTTTACATCAAGACCCACCAAAGCGGTGGGTCTCAACCTTCCTAATGCTGCAACCCTTGAACACAGTGCCTCATGTTGTGGTGACTCAAACTATAAAATAATCTTGTTGCCACTTCATAATTATAATTTTGCCACTGTTATGATTTATAGTGTAA